ATCTATAGCTCCAGATATGACCTAATTACCGAGCAGTGTTCTGGTTTGGATTGCACCGACATCTCTTTTCTAAGTTTGGCCATCTCTTTATCCTTGCACTTTAAGTTCTTAAAGTCATCAATCAATATTTTCATTTATGTGATAGGCCTGTATTTAAAATGAACATTTACCATAAATTAAAGGTATCTTATATTATTAGATATATTATTATAAAACATGCTTTAGTTAAGGAGTTATTAATACTTCAGGTGCAAAATGATGATATAAAACCTTGATAAAAATACACTTTTAAGTATCAATCAATATACCATAAAGCACATTGATTAATCAGGAAAACCAGCTCTATGAATATAATCATCCATCCATCCATCTAGGTGTCCGTTTAACTCTTTCTTTTAGTATAGAAGAATTATTTTCCCCTAATGTATCATTTTATGGTGTAGCAATACCATTCTCCCCTAAAGTGTCATCATCTTCATCTTCTAATATTTCAACATTCTCCACTGAGGCAGCACTATCATTTCCACATTCCAGTTCATTATTATTTTTAACTCCTTTTGTACCCAAATTATCTCTTTTTACTTATTTCTCATTATAATCATTATTTCTCCATCATAATTTGTATCTTCTTAAGTAAAGACATCACTCCTCACTTCATCATCACTCTTCCTCTAATGTTATCCCTCATTCTCATTAAACACTGCATCCCTACTAACAATCACCTATTTGGTCTTATGATCATAAAGCTGATAGGCTTTAGATTCTTCACTAACACCTATAAACACACATCTATTACTCTTTTCATTTAACTTTGTCCTCTCTTTGTCAGTAATATGCATATTTGTAATACAACTGAAAATTCTAAAGTACTCAATATTGAGTTTGTTTCCACTCCAACACTCATCAAGAGTCTTTTCTTTTACAGCCACAGTTAGACTCATATTCAATATATGCAGTTCCCATCGAACTGCTTCTAGCAAGAATAGTTTAGGCATTTCTTTCTCTGAAAGCAAGCATCGATCCATGTTTAATATAGTTTAATTTTAACGTTTTGCCACTCCATTCTGTTAAGGAGTATAGGCAGCAATAAGTTGCCTCTTAATGCCATGATTAAGGCAAAACAAATTGAATTTTTTGAAAGTAAACTCACATCACCTGTTTATCCTCAAACATCATATATCACACTTTGATTATTTTTTCACAAGGCTTTTAAATACTTTAAACATGGAAAAAGTTTCACTCTTCTTGGCTAAAAAATAAATCTAAACCTTTCTGTTGAAATCATCTACAAAGCATAATAAGTACCTTTTTAGATTGCTTGCAGTTAGAGTAATTAGACCACACAAATCTGCATGCACTAGTTGAAGTCTTTTTGAAGCTTTCAACTAACTTTTCTTAGGGATGATTGTTCGATGTTATTTGCCATGATGACACACTATGCATGCTGTGTTTGTGGCTTTGAGTCGAGGAAGTCCTTTGACAAGTTGCTTGCTCTCCAAAGTTTTGAGACTTTTGTTGTTCATATGGCCATAGTGACGATACCACAGGTCTGATAAGTCATCCACACTTGCTATTAGACAATTTAAAGGCCAAATAATCATAGTGGCTAGTAAAACAAGCATCATATTTGTTGCCATAAAAGTTTGCATAATAAGGCCTATCATAGGATGTTATATTTTACAAGCCTTATCCTTCATAACAATAGCAAGTCCCTTCTCTTGAAGTTGTCCAATGCTTAATAAGTTATTCTTAAGCTCAGGAATGAAAAACACATCTCTTACTACTTGAGTTAGTCTTACAATCATAAGCTTAACACTTCCTTTTCCCATCACCATTATTTTTGCTTCATTGCTCAGCTTGACTGAATGTCTAAACTGCTCATCCATCTCTAGGAACCAATCTTTATTTCTTAACATATGGTTAGAACATCCTGAGTCTAGAAACCAGACCTTTTATTTGCTTGTTTTCTTATCCTGAACATTAACCATTAGTAGAAGTTCTTCCTCTTCATCCAACTCGGTATAATTTACACCTTTTTCCTAACTAAGATACTCATTTTGAAAATGTCCTAGTTTTTGACATTTATAGCATTCCACAGTAGCTTTGTTGAAGTTATGCCTTCCTTTACTACGTTCACATTTCCAAGCTCCTCTTCCTACTTTGTCTTCATGGGTAATTTTAAGGAATTGCTCTTCTTCTCCTTGACTCTTCATCCTTTGCTCATGCACCAGAAGACTGCTATAAAGTTTGTCTATGGTCATTATAGTCATGTTGTTAGATTTTTTAATTGAACAAACCACATAGTTGAATTTAGAAATTATTGATTGAATAATCTTTTTTGTGATCATTGTTTCATTTAGATTTTCACCATGAGCCTTCATTTTATTGGCTATAGATAAAACTCAAGCAAAGTAGGTATTCATAGTTTCTCCTTCCCTTGTACAAAGAATTTCAAAATCACAGTGTAATGATTGTAACTGTGCTTTATTAACCCTTGTCGAGCCTTGAAATTTTTGTTTCATAGATTCTCATATTGTCTTTGAAGAGCTCATGTCAAGAATGGTTTCAAACATGTCTCGTTCAATTGCTTGATATAGAAGATTATTTGCCTTCAAATCCTTTAACTTGTTTTCTTCATACTCCTTCGGAAGGTTGTTAAAATCGCGAGTTGACTTTTGAAATCTTATGATTTTACGAGTCAACATGTATATAACATGTCAAATCAGGTTAAAACTTGAAATATGTCAAAATCCTTCAAACTCGGTTAAAATCAGTAAAATCGAACCGATTTTATGAGTTTGACCGAGTATGACCAATTTTGAGTTTTAACCTGTAAAAGTTAAAAAAATTTACTACCTCCCTGTCTGAGTCCCCTAACACTCCACTATATAGTCCCCACTCCCCTTTCTCTTCTTGTCCTATTGCCCAAATCTCAAAATTTGAATCTTAGTAGACTAACGCCAGCATTAGAGGATCTTGGGTATGGGAAAGCCTTATACTGTATTTTAGACCGAGAAGACATGATTGAAAGATCAAAACCATGGGAAGACAGAGGTAAACAATGATGAATCAAAGGAGTAAAATAAGAGATATGAATACTTATAAAGAGAGAAATACTGCGTTTTAGACTAACCATTTGTTAACTACAAAAAAAGACAACAAAGACTTAGAAATAACTTGAAATACAAGTCTTGCTTGGTGGGATATTTGGACATTATTTCTAGAACTTGTTACTAACATAAAAAAAGGTGGATGGTGAGGTGACATTAGATTAAATTGATGTCATTTTGTATGTTTTTGTTCTCGTTGTCACAGATTCATTATATTGGTCCCTGTTAATTTTTTTTTGAAGTTGGTGATATACCTTAGAATGTTGTATCATCTCACTAGTTGTCTGCAGTGTGTTTCAATACCTGTCCTCTAGAAAATGTTCTGAAACTCTATCAATAAAACATAGTTGTTCAATCTTATTTTTTTTCTTTTTGTATCTTTAAGTTATTTAAACCATGCATGAATTTTTATTTGAATTATGTATTTTAAGGTATTTGGATATTTTTATTGTTTATTTCACTTTTATTTTAATTGTGTTATATTATTATTTACTACTTGACTGAAATTATCAATATATAATTAGCTAAAATATTTTTCTTGTGATTTTATGATTTTACAATTTGAGTTTACGATCCGAGTTTATATTATACATTTCTTGTCGTGTCAAAAAAATGTTTTTTACAACCTTGCTTTTCCTGCGACATCCATCATGATGCCATGATCTACAACATTCCAATATTCTTTGGAACGAAGCAGATTCTTTGTCAGTTCAGCTCAGCTCAATAATCATAGTGTCTTACAAACTTAGGCACATGATTGGTACTGCTTCCTTTTATCATTTTAAAGAAACACTCAAGTTTTTCTTTTCACTCTTGTACTCACAGCCAGGCCTTGTTAAGAGGCTCTGATACCGATTGTTATAATACCAAAGATCTTGTATAATTTAACTATAAAAATACATTTTATTTAGTAGTGTACATTTGACTTAAATAGTCATTACAACTTGAAATTAGGGGAAAACGAACCACATCTTCTTAGTTGAAGATTGTGGTAACAGAAAAATAAAAAAACCATAAGCTAATGACCAAGTTATTATCAACATTAACATATTGACTTGCACTAACAAACTAACTTGTTGGCTCCTGAAAGAGACGAGTTTATTCTAAAACAAAAACAACCGGTTTCTAATAAAATTTACTTTAAAAATATTGTATTTTATTTTATATTACATGTTTTTTAATCAAATATATTTTTTATTTTTTCTATATGTATCTCTTATGTCATGAGACATGAACTAAATTCAACATAAGAAAACCCCATTCAAATCCATTGTATAACACTTCTTCCAAAGAGACAAACCTTTATTTGCTAAACTATACTTTGTACAAGGAGGCCATCTAATTATTAACTTGCTAGTGGACACAGTTTTAAAAAAAATCAGCAAAAAAGTAAATAGAACAAGAGGAAAAGTGCGAGGCAAGTGTCGCCCAGGCTGTCGTTGAAACAGTCTCAATGACTATATATATATATATATATAAACAAAAACAAAAGTCGTTAACAACAATGAGTGAGGGACCTCCTTCATTATTTATATATGAATACTAGAGAAATTAAGGGAGTCATATCCCAGTTTATTTTAGCATATAATATAATTTGCACTCAAACCGTGAAACACGCATATATAGTCAATTAAAACCGAGTGCGAGTCCTATCCGTTGTATACAAACGAATGGTGATAAACGAAGGAGATCGAATATCACAAATTAATCAGTGTGTGTGTCGCTTTCTCAGTGGAATATGATTGCAGAAAAAACAGGACGGCGAAGAAGAATGACTTGGGTGTTGGTATCCTTGGAGTCCAGTCAATATGATAGTGACTGATCATGATCTTGAGATAAAATAAATGAGAACAGTTGGACTGGAAAATTCAAAATTATTCTAAAAATATATTTATTATATATATATAATTAATCAAATATTTTTTTTTACCAATCCAAAACATTAATCAAACACAACCCACATGCAGACAGCGCAAGTGCTAGAAAATGATGGGAAATGCTCCTTCGTTACAAGAATTAGGTTAAACTTTCCATGACTTTTCAATGAGGAATTAATTTACTTGCAAGACGGGGGTCACCCTACGCCGTATACATTACTGCAGTATTACGTGACCAATATGTTTATAATAATAAAATAATAATAATAATAGTTGATGTTCTTGGAGATAACATGTGTGGATTTATCTATATTAATCAATGGGGCCAGTATAGGTTATAAATATGGTGGACGCGTGACAAAATGTATGGAAGTTGACCTAACTGCATGACCGGGAGGTTAACCTTTCCCCAGGGAAAGATGGGCATGATTGGCACCAGGTTTTATGTAGTTAGTGGTTCTGGTTTAGGACTAATGGAGTTGGCTAACTATGTCTTTGTTTTTTAATTAAGGAAGATCTAGATTGCTGTTAAAATTTAAGTATTAGGTTTAAAAAACCCACAAAGGATACGTCAAACTACAGTAATCTCTCTTCCTTTTCTTGTATTTTTGTTCTAGTTTTTTGCCTGTGAGCTTAAATTAATCCATAACTTGTATTGGATATCTATCTCTGAGGTTCACTAGGATTGGTAATTGGCTGTTCAATATTCTAGCCTTGAAGTGTTCATCAAAATATATTGACACTAATTTATTTATTTATTTATTCATTGAGGATATTTGGTTATCCTTGGTCTAAATCAAAGGAAAGATCCAAAGGTGGTTCGTGTCGTCGGAAAATCACCTGCATACATTCACTTCATCGTTAATGTTCCAAGAACCAATCTTTTACTCTGTCTGTGAAGGAGACTGCCCGTTGACTCAATGCATGCTCTCTATATTTTCTTGATTCCCTCTCTCTCTCTTCCAATTTCCACACCATTCAACATATTTTTAGTGTCAATGAATCATGTGTGTTAATAACGCAGGGAGTTTCCATTAATGAAAGGTCAAGAAGGCCACAAAAATATACATGTTTTAGTTTTAAGCTTTATTTACACTACCATTTGCCTCGAAATAAATGGGAATCGTCCTCCCCTATCACGCAAAAACATTGTTTTTTTTTTTAATAATCAAAATTTTATAAACATGGTTCTCGCAAAGGCTGAGAAGAATGGTTTTTTTAAAACAAAGGCTGTTCTCGCAAAGGCTGAGAAGAATGGTTTTTTTAAAACAAAGGCTGTTCTCACATTTTTTTTAAGAGAAAATTGTTGCCCAGTGATATTTCATCTAACCCAACAAAATTTTAAACTTTAAAGGTAAACTCTGGGCTTTAAATAAACCTAAGAGTAGAGCCAAAAAAATTTCTATCCTGCACTATTAAATAAATATATAAATATTTTTAACAAAAATTTCTATCCTGGACTATTAAATAAATATATAAATATTTTTAAAGATTAATTATTAACTTATATACATGAATTTTTAAAGTTAATAGTAAAGTTTTAATTCAAATATATTATCCAAATGTTAAAAAATAAATTTAAAAGTACATAAAATTAAAATGAAAACAAAAATAAACGCACTATTAAAGTTACATCTTTTGATGTTTTGTGGAATATAATTCATCTATAATTAAATTTGAATCGATATTATAACAACCCTTTAACCGAAATAAAATAACAATCTCATGTCAATTAGAAAACAAAATAATTAAATTTTTGCTCTCTCTCAATTCCTCTTTCCTTCACTTGATTTTTTTTATCATTATTTTATAAGTTGGACTTTATAACTTTACAAAGTTATTCTCTCACTCTTTTTTTTTTCATTAGATTTTTTCTATGTTTTTCCCTTACTTTTATCTATTTCTCTTTTTTTTTTCCTTGGATTTTTTCTATATTTTTCCCTTACTTTTATCTATTTCTCTTTAACCATTTCTTTTCTTATTTTGCTACTATCTAGTCGGCAATATATAAAAGGAAGGAATAACTTATTTATTTTATTTTTTAATGGAAAATAATTGTTTTACTCTTAATGAGTCGTTTTGCTTTTATTTGACGGTTTTTTTTATTAGCACTACCAAGCTCCGTTCATCCTAAAATTTTAACCAGATTTTATTCAATATTTTTTAAGATTCCTCATAAAATTTCAGCTCAATCTGATGATCAGGTTGAAAATTACACCTAATAATATATGTAAAATTGATCAAATTGTGATTTTTCATCAAATTTCTCAATTTCTAAAAAAATTCTGAAATTATTCAAAAATTTTAACTCAAGCTAAAACATCATATTAAAAAGTTCCACATAAATTTTCAGAATTTTTTAATAACTTAATCAAAAATTAAAAATTATTTTTTATATAAAAATAATTAAAAATATTAATAAAATCTTCACCTGGTATACAGCACACCTCCGCCCATGCCTATATACGAGGAAGTATTGTCCATAGTGTGCAGAAACATTGCTTGTTATTTTATTTTGCATGGATAACAAAGAAAAGCTTCTTCTGAGATGCATACGGTTGGTAGTTGGACGAAGCCATGGCATGAACCGAGGTATTGTGCTGGCTACGAGGCAGGGAGACAGTGTTCATTGCAACCCACGATATGGTAGGATCTGCCTGTCTAGCATGAGGCAAACACGCATGTTACATAGTATAACCTATGCAAGTTTGTTTTATTTATTTATTTATTTATTATTATTATTATTATTAACGTGTATATCTGATTAACTTGTGTAAATTTTAATTTAATTTTATAAATTTTAAAATTAATAATTATGTAAATTTTTAGTAACTTTAGAAAAATTATATCTATATAATTATTAATTTTTATTAAATACATATCTAAATCTAATTAACCATATCTAATTATATTTTTAAAAACAATTTATTTTTTAAAACCACAATATAAAAAACAAATACACTTGAAATGTCGACTGTCAGCAGACAGGGTAGATCGATGCTAAATGTCGGCTGGTCCAGCACTCCTAAAATGGGATGTGAACTTGAGAAATAATTGCACCTTTGCAATTATTAATTTCATGCCTGCAAGGGAACGACTAGTATATAATATATATGAGTAGAAGATGTGTTTGAACGTTTAACCACTGAATATGTAAGGAAAAGTGATTATAAGGTTGTTTTTAAAATAATTTATATTTAAAAATATAGTAAAATAATATTATTTTATTTTTAAAAATTTATTTTTAACATAACATATCAAAACAAAATTTTTTATAATATTATTCTTACCGGAACTTTTCTCACTTCTTACTGGAACAATGTTTCTTGTTTTTTTCCTTTTTTTTCTTTAATTTTTTGTTGTTTTTTTATAATTTAATTCTTTAACGTTGCAAATAGATCTTTGTGATTTGTTTCTCTTCAAGATTATTATAGTTTAAACCAAAAAATCTCACCACTATTAAGAATTTAATTAACATGGTAATTATGATACCTACCAACAGAGATTTTTGCTTTGCGAGGTACAATTGTAAATACACCTAGATTAATCTTATTCCAAATAATTAAGACGGTCTTAATTTTTAATTAGTCGAGATAGAATGCATCTACCCCATTTTCGCCCTCTCCATTCCTCCACTGTCCTCAAAAATCCCTCCATGGCGGTGTGTTTTTCTACACAAAAATATTGTTTTGACCAAATGGTCGGCTATGACCATGTGATTTTTTAATTCTACATTTGTTAAACTAATTAATTAGTTGTTTCACGTTATCATCATTTGCTAAATTGTTCCACCGACTTATACCTCTATACCATACACACCCTTTATACGGAACACGATATAAATTATATTTCATGAAATTTTAATTTTTTAATTTTAATTTTTTTATATATATTTTAATTTTTTAATATATTGATATCAAAAATAATTTTTTTTTTAAAAATATATTATTTAATATATTTCTAGACAAAAAATATTTTAAAAATTAATTATTACCACACTCCCAAACACCATCAACACATACCCTTAGTTAATGCATATAATTAAGTTAAAGAGTCATTTTTAATTGCATTCATTTTATAAAAAAATTAAAAATTTTATTTAAAATTAATTATTTTTTAATTTTTGAGTCTTTTTAATAAGATGATATCAAGATAATTCTTAAAAAATAAAAAATATATTATTTTAATATATTTTAAATAAAAAATACTTAAAAAAATATTACATTTCTAAATACATAGTAGTGTTCTTAGTAAAAAAAATTTGTTCATTAATGCTTTCTATATATATATTCATCTCTCGTTCTAAAGAAAAGAAAAGAAAAGAAGAAGCCTCCAAAGCCAACAAGCCCAAATACATTTAGACAGATAAGAATATGAGGCCCAAAATATGAAGCCCGTCAAAAGCAAGCTAGAAGTCGCGCATGGCATGATATTACATCCTTAAACCTTAAAACCCTAAGACTAGAGAGAAACCTCAAAACCAGACAAGTAATACAAGATGTCGGGCAGAGAAGATTCGGAATCGGACGCACCTGAGGAATTTACTGCAGAGCAGGTTCCAAAATTTATCCCTTTTATTTTTCAATTTTTTGTTTTATTCAAAAATCTTTTTTTTTTTTTTGATGTTTTGTTATGTTTACAGGGAATACAACAAGATGAAGAGATAAGAAGAGTTCAGAAAGAAAGTAAGGCAAGGTACTTACGTTGTTATCTGAACTACAGTCTCAATTTTTAGCAAACAAGACCCTTAAAAGAAATTTGTTTTCTTGATTGAGCTTATTATTTTTTGCATTTTTTTTTTAATTTTAGTTTGATTTGACTCTAAATAGCGTTTCTAGTTATTTTGATAACGGGTTTTTGAATTGAAGCTGATATCTTTTGTTTTTTCTTTTGTCGTGGCTATATGGGGTGGAACTATAAAAAGGGGTGGTGGCATTTACTTGAAATTTTGCGCTGGTTGAATCATTTATTTTGGATAACTACTTGAGGGAAACTGCACTAGTTAAAGTCATTGATGTTTTTAATTTATGGCATTTATTTGGAAAGTTGACTCATTTTAGGAGAAAATATTATATATTGATGGAATTTTGTGAATTTGATTACCAAATCTTGAAGTTTTAAAGTTTCTCTCTTCTTCTTAAGTTGTGGTATTCAGAACCGGCGCGAGAGAAGCACTGGATGGTGCGAAATGTAGAAGTCCTTGGGAGAAAAATAATGATACTAATGAAATACTATTTACTTAGCAGAACATGAATTGCTTGTCTTTTAATGGTTTCTCCTTTGATTTGCCAAATTGCTTCCTGAATTGACTTCCTCCATGAAAGGTTTACAGTTTGCTTAGGGTTTTTCTTTACTGGCTGCCCATACTTTCTTGCTGTTCTTAGGATATCTGGTTGTTCTGTGTGATGTTTTTAATACTCCTTGTTTCTATCTGCTTCCTGAATTGACTTCCTCCATGAAAGGTTTACAGTTTGCTTAGGGTTTTTCTTTATTGGCTGCCCATACTTTCTTGCTGTTCTTAGGATATCTGGTTGTTCTGTGTGATGTTTTTAATACTCCTTGTTTCTATATGACCCTCTAATTCCTAATTTCAATTCGTGGAGCATGGTGTTTGTTTAGTTAGAGAGCTCTTTTTGGTTAATAAATTAGGAGCTGACTATGGCAACTAGTCTTCTGAGCTGCTATTGATGTGGGATGTGGCCCATTTTGAATTTCCATTTCAATTCGTGGAGCATGGTGTTTGTTTAGTTGGAGAGCTCTTTTTGGTTAATAAATTAGGAGCTGACTATGGCAACTTTGCTTAGGTAGTCTTCTGAGCTGCTATTAATGTGGGATGTGGCCCATTTTGAATTTCCCAGGAAACACTGAGCTTTAGATTAAGTTATTGATGTGAGGATAGTGAAGACTGCTGCTGCAACTTTGCTATTCTAGTTATGCATACCACAAGGATCAGCTATGTTGGTATCTAGTTGACGGATTTATAATAACTTACCCATTCAGCTCTTGTTAAGTGTCATGCAAGCCTTGGGCTTGGCTAGGAGGCCTTGTTGATGTTTAACCTTTGAAAAGTAGAGGCATTCTCTTTAGCAAGATGGACAGTGTGGGTCAGTTTTTCTGGGAGGTAGCACTAAAGTTTAATTTGGCAAAGTGGGCATGGTTTGAAGCCTAAGAGAACACTGGTTAGGGATGGTTAGAGTTCAAAAAATCACAGTGCACAAATCACATGTGCCTCCATTTCATAAACTGGGTTATACTGGACAAGGGTAAACTTTTATATTCTGGGCATGTATGAGCAGAAGGCGTCTGTACTCATTTACTGAAGAAGAACAAATTTAGGTCAGTAGCAAATCAATAATCAGCAGAATTGGAAGTCTTTTACAAAATAGCGGAATGTTCTCCTGTTCTAGGAAATGCAACATGCATGGAATATTAGCTGTTTTATTTTTTTCAAAGGCTGCAAAAACTATTTTACTCCTAGATTCAATATTGTTGGTTTGGTTTTCCTTTTGCTTTTCCCTTATGGTTTTTCCTTTTGCTTTTCCCTTATAGTTTTACAAAGCCAAATCTAGATATAGTCCTTATGGTTTTCCTTTTGCTTTTCCCTTACAGTTTTACAAAGCCAAATCTAGATATAGTTATATACTTCTTCAAAAGTTGATTCTACTGTTTTTTTATTTATGTTTAGTTTGATGTTAGCAGCTTGTTTTACAAACCTGTTTAACTTTGAATAGAGTTGTTCGTGAGGCTAAAGAAAAGCGCAGACGATTGGCACGGAGGAAAACAGCACAACCACCTAAAGTGAATGAAAGTGTGCGAGATGTGGTAGAAGCGAAAACTGAAATTGAAACAGAAACAGAGAAAGAGTCTCTGGGCTATGGAGGGATGCTTCCAAGTGATATTGTTCAACTGCTTGCAGCTCGGGAGAAGTATGATACCCCTCTCTCCCTCACCCTCTCTCTCTCTCTCCCCCAAGCACACACACACACACCCACCCAAGCAGATGAATGAGGACAGAAAACAAGCTCGCGCACACAAACACACACCCAAGCAGATGAATGAGGACAGAAAAAGATGTTTTCTATCTCCATGTACAGGATTCTAACCAAGAGAAATTATGCTGTCTGCAGAAAAGTCTTTTTGTCCGATTCTGAGGATGAGAACGCTGAAGAGAAGCGGCTTCCAAAAAAGAAAAAGCGCAGAAGCTTGGGGTGAGGCATAATTGAAAGCTAAACTTGGAAATGATGTTTTTGAAACAAAATAATAATGTTATTGAATTTTAATTTGCAGGAAAGAAACTGTTATTTTGAAGGAGATGGCACCTCCTCAATGCATACAAAAGTCGCTGGAGTTCTTGAAGAAAAAGAAAATGCAGCTTTCAAGATCATCTTCGGTTTTGAACAACCCCAACCAAGCACTTCGCCTCATATCTTCTTCTGGCTTGTTCAGTAAGAAATGACAAGCTTGCGAGTCAGTTTCTTGTTAATGTGCCCATGTAATACTGAGCCATTCAAAGCTAGTGTAAGACATTGATATCGAAAAGAGGCGAGTTACTCGACTTCCCAAAGCGTATTTTCAAGCTACTGCACCATAGTAATTCTTACATCACTTTCAACTCCACTGAAACGCATGCAAAATTGAGTCGTCTACAGTTAACGTTTACACCTTTTGTATTGTATCGTTCAAGTATTTTATGATTCCCGAGGATTGATTGTTGATCATTATGAAATCTAATCTGTGTTAGAGAAATTGTTAACGGCAATTTGCTGGGGGACCTGTCCTGCTAAAATCTTTGCCTATTTCGAATCTCAAGGCATCACCTATTGGATTCCAACAATGCCTCCTACTCTCCTTCCCATTCTTTGATACTTAAAAAGTTGATAGAATATATTGGCGTCTTATTGTTGTGGAAAATATAGGTTAATCATTCAAAAGGGGCTGCTGCATTCTGGATTTTGAATCATATATAAACAAATCAGTTGTATCTCTCAGAAGCCCTCTCCAGCCCTTCCTCCTGAGGATTTCTCTAATCTTGGTGACTTGCTGGATTCAATCTCTTAGAATCTACTCGGTGCATATGATATGTGGTTATCTGTACCCTTTTTTTTTCTTTGATTAGTGAACAAACTTGTCTTCACATACACACCATAGCTGCTCTATGATCCAAGACCATGACAACCAGAGCTGATTTTGCCGATATGAACTGGGAGTTTCGAATTGGATTAAAAAGAAAAAGAAAAGAAACCCAAATGCATTGTGGACATTCAAAGGTTTTTTGGAAACCCTTTCACTCGAGGCCTGGGGGTGATGAAGCTTCGAGAGCTTATATTGAATTCAGAGAGAAATGTTCTTGAAGGCAAGTCCATTAAACTGCAATTGCTGAACAATGGCAATACAAGAACATCAATTCGTAAAAGATATATATAGCAATCACAAACATGGTCACAATATCTTAACTTGGGCATATTGAAGCTTCAATCACGAAGTGTCACAATCTGGTTTTTACTAAGGTGAGAGTAGATTCATTCTCTTAGTCCTGCCCTTCTCTTCGGCTTGAAGGAAGTGTGATGCATCCAACAATCCAAGCAACAAAGTTCATCAATTATATTGCCACATTCAAGATGAGGAGAACGCATCATCAGGGTCCAGCCACTTTCGCTGGTCTGCTAACACCATGTTTTCTTGGTCTAAGCTGCCTGTAAGCGTAGTCAGAGCTTGGATAGCGTTTTTTACCTTGTTTGACCTCTTGTGGTGGCGGATACGTTTCAGGATAACATCTTTGTCCATGGAATGAACAGATGGTTTTAAATGGAGCTGGCTGCTGACAGGAAAAGTGAGTGCTTGTTTGTCTTCAACTTCGGGGTGGTTTTGGTTCGATTTCTCGGTTTCTAAGATGCACTGCTGAGCTTTAGAAATCATGAAAGCCATTGTTTTTGGAGATGGAAAGAGCTGGAGAACGGGAATTGTATGGGATTTCCGCTGTCCAATGTATACTTATAACGTGTGAGTGTGAGGTTTCAGTGGGAGCTTCCTTCTGTTTTGTTTAGCGGTTTGGTTTATAGCACAAATCAGTGGGTTTTGTATTCTTGGTGGTAGTTGGGGTAACATCACCTTGAATGATGTCATACATCTTAGATTAGAGCTCTTGGGCTAATATAAAATTTATCGATACTTAGAACTATGTTTACAAATTAGATTTAATCTTTTGTATCCTATCATTATAATTATTATTGATGTATTTCATTTTTCTTTTTCTGAAGAAAAGAAAGTTCAATTTGATAATTTCTTATTTTTTATTTTTTTAAATACTCAACACATGGAAATAGTTTTTATTATAAAAAATCACTCCTACTATTCATCCTATAATTTGATCAAAACTACACTTACTCGTCAAGTTTTAAAAAATTACAATTTATATTATAAGTTTTATATACATGCTGAAACTTATATTTTTATATAAAAAAAATATTTAATTATTTATAGAATAGTCATTATATTTTATTTAATGATAAAAATAACATTATATTAAATATTATAACCTTGCCATCAATTAAAAAAACAAAAAAAAACAAAACCTAGTCACCACTTTCATTCTTTTCTTGTTGTCGGTATTTGTCCATCCAAACCCAACAAATCACGAAATATTCCATCATAATTGCAGCACTAGCAAGATGGATAGACAGATAATTAGATAAATAAAATTCATGAAATTATATAAAAAAAAAACAATTGGAAGCGGATTGCCTAACACTTGAAAAACAAAATCAAGGAATTTGAAAGCACCTGTAGTTATTAGGAGCAACAGTGACAATAGCCAGAGTCAAAGAGAGAGTGTTCCAGGTTCAATAATAATAAA